GGCTGCTGAAAATTCAGCTTTGCATCACAAGAATAAATTACATTTGAAAAGATATTTAGTTAGAAAACAGTTATTTCAAATTGTAATAATATTTCACAATATTACTGTTTTTTGTATCTTTGATCAAATAAATGCAGCCTGGTGAGCATAAGAGACCTTCAAAAACAGTTAAAAATCTTACAGACCCCAGACATTTGAACGGTAGTGAATTTATGTGTGATATATTGTTTTTAAATATTATATATTTAATGTTTATATTTATATACTATAATTATTATATGTATAAAATATTCATTCTATTAATTTCATACTGCCTCTTTTTTTCGGTTATAAACCTGAATAGAAAATTCTGTAAACTTTAAGTTTTCTTTTCTTATGATATTGTTTCTTTCTTTTCTTTTCTTTTTTTTCAATGTTTATCCAATTTTTCTAAATTTTTTCCAAGTAATGACAAGTTCTGTCATGTCAATAATGTACTGATTCTCTCATCCCCAGATGGAGGCTCTGCAGCTCTTGGTATAGATTTAATCAGAGGATCTGCTGGAGGTTTATCCTCATCCCTCTCTAGCTCCAACTCTGGTCTAGAGCAGAGGAAGACAGTCACAGCCCAGGAGAGACAACGAGAGAGGGAAGAGAAGCGGAGGAAGAGACAGGAGCGTGCGATGGAGAAAAAGAGGAAGCTGAAAGAGAAGGAGAAAAAGGTGGGAAAACAAGGTGAATCTTTGTGCGGCGTTTTACTCAGCGACAACGACAAGAAGCTGTTGGAGCGCTGGGGGCGAATGATGGACAATCGCGTGGATAAACCGCAGACCGCGGAAACCAATAGTGCCAAAACTGGTGAGAGTAAGATAGTCCAAATCCAGCCAGCAAAAGGAAGCAATGTCGTAAAGACAAACTCAGTCGGGGGAGAATCAATGCCACCAAAACAGCCCAGCAGAGTGCAGGCTTTCAGACCACCACAAATGCTGCCTCAAATGGGACAGTGTTTGGCAGCTGGAATATTCCATCCAAAACCGACCCATGATGCACCGTCCGTCTCTTTAGGTCCAGCTCAGAATGGAGACGATGGGATAGTTGCTGTAGGAGGAGGTGAAAGTGTTGGTGTGATAACTACCCCATGTGCCTTTGCCAAAAACATCACATTAAAACCTCCGTTTCTGACTGTTGGAACAATGTTCGCCGGTCTTGGGAACTGGACAGGAACATCTCCGCACCAACCCCAGAAGACCCACCAACCTCCCCCAGAACTGAATAACCCTGCACACACGGGCTTCACGCATATGCAAACGCAGCCGAAGCCCGTCACGCATGCACAGTCACAGTCCAACGCTCACATCCAGCTGCTGCCGCTGGAATCCTTTATGACCAAACCATCAGCTCTGAACCCCAGCATTGGCGTTTCGGACACCAGCACGTCGCTTTCCAATCCAGAGACTGGCAATGGTCCTCAAACCCTGGACAAACTTTGCGTTTTAGAGGAGCGACAAAATGGCTCTCATACACAGGGCCCTTCAAAACAGCCTCCAGGAGCTGCAGCTCAACCCTGCCTTGGTCTCACTGACACGGGACAGCTGGCAAACAGCATCCCTGACATCCACACAGTCACACAGCAGCTCTCAAAGTCACAGGTGAATGTTTTATTTATAATATATGACTCTTTGCCTTCTTTCAATGTAAGCAATGGTATTTTTTATTATTATTATGCAGTTTTATTTTCTTCAAGGTGAAAGTTTGATTGCTTAGAAAAGTAACACCTGTTATCAACAGGACATTTAATTATTTATTTAAATAGGACACGTTTTCTCTTAAAGGGTTAGTTCACCCAAAAATGAAAATTCTGTCATTAATTACTCACCCTCATGTCGTTCCAAACCCGTAAGACCTCCGTTCATCTTCGGAACACAAATTAAGATATTTTTGATGGAATCTGAGAGTTCTCTGACCCTTCCATAGACAGCAAGGGTCCTTTCACGATCAAGGCCCAGAAACAGCAAGAACATCGGTAAAATAATCCATGTGACATCAGGGGTTCAACCGTAATTTTACAAAGCTACGAGAGAAAAAAAAAAAAAAGAAAAAAAGGAAAACAACGTATCCGCGTGGCGCAGCTGACACAAAACAGCATACGCAATTTACGTTCAGTGGATACTCTCCAAAATGGCGCCAGGGTGACGCGGAGGAGACGAATTGTTGAATAAAGTCGTTTTTTTTTTTTCTTTTGCGCACAAAAAGTATTCTCATCGCTTTACGGTTGAACCCCTGATGTCACATGGATTATTTTACAGATGTCCTTGCTACATTTCTGGGCCTTGATCGTGTAAGGATCATTGCTGTCTATGCAGGGTTAGAGAGCTCTCAGATTCCATCAAAAATATCTTAAATTGTGTTCCGAAGATGAACGGAGGTCTTACGGGTTTAGAACGACATGAGGGTGAGTAAATAATGACAGAAGTTTCATTTTTGGGTGAACTAACCCTTTAAGTAGAAGTAAAATATCCAAAAAAATAATAATTTTTAATAATGGACATGAATTGTAAACATGATTTTATTTTTTTATGAGCTTTTTGTGTGTGTGTGTGTGTGTGTGTGTGTGTGTGTGTGAAGCACCAATGTTGCTGAATGAGGTAAATGCCAAAGATTAATAATTTAAATGTTTTGGTTTTCTTTTGCTTTAATTTAGATTTTTATAAAAATATCTACCCCCCCCCAGAGGTAATGCCACAGATTATTTTTATTTTACTGTTTTACTGTTATATTTTACTTTCATTGATTGATTGATTGGAAAAAAAAAAAACTATAGCTCCCCCAGAGGTCATGTTATTTTTACTTATTATTTATATAATTTGTTATTTTATTATTATGCACTATTTTTCTTTTTATTATTATATATTATGTGTGTATATACATATATTGTTTGAAATAAAATGCACTATTTTTATCTTTCTGTTTTATTTTCTGACACAAATTATGTTATGTATGGAGGCCTTTTTCTAACTCAGGGTAATGAAGAAACAGGTAATTATGGGATAAAGTAAAAAAAAAAAATAGTGAGATATAAAGTCAAAATTGGGAGATTGAAATTATATTTTAATTTTGATCATTTGTTTCATTCTTCTCAATCATTTTCCCTGCCAGGTTGAAGACATTTTACCGCCGGTTTTCTCAGTGACTCCTAAAGGCAGTGGAGCAGGATACGGCGTCGGCTTCGACCTCGATGACCTCCTCACTCAGTCGCTTACCGAACTCCAGCACTCCGACTTCAGGGAAAGGTCAGTTCAGATCCCGGTGACCGCAAAGTGCACGCTCTATTTTTGAACTGTACATCACTGCCAATTACAGTACTTGACTTTAACGTACATTTCAATGATCTCAATTCTCTGTTTCATTAGTCACAATGACTTGGCCCCCCTGTCTGCATCCCTGCTCTCTGATTGGCTGGAGGTACACCGCATGACCCCTGCTGACATGGAGTCACTTCAGCAGGAGCTCCAGCTGGGATCTCCCATGATCCTCTCTGACAACTCAACGCTTCCTGATACCTGATCAGTCCATGCATTTTGTCTCCATCCCCTTGTAGAACCGGTTGAGAGCGGTGAACAGAGGAACATGATAGCTGTATTGTGCACCAGTATACGTTGGAGAGATGTATTTTTGAGGCTCCAAATTATTAAGACCTTTACCTAGAACCTTACCCAGAAAAGTGCCTTTATCTTTAATAGGTTTGAATGCATTATTTATTTGTGCCAACATTAAAGTATGATGCTCCGTTCGGTTCTTAAGGGGTTTCCATTCTCAGAATTTCAGTGCCATTATAAAAAACCAAGGAGAAAGAGTTCAGTTCAGCGGTGCTAGTGCCATTGATTTGCCAATATCACTCCATTCTGCTGATTTTACAGAAGTCAGTTGAAATAGTACATTGTCTAGCAGACGAGTGTTTAAAGCTATTTTCTAGTACACTACAGGAGTCACCAGCACGGCAGCAGTATTACGGTGGATGAAACAAATATCACTCCATTCTGCTGATTTTACAGAATAAGTCAGTTGAAATAGTACGTTGTCTAGCAGACGAGTGTTTAAAGCTATTTTCTAGTACACTACAGGAGTCACCAGCACGGCAGCAGTATTACGGTGGATGAAACAGCAGAGCACAATGACATGACTGTAGAAAGTAGAAAAGCATTAGATTTGATGTTGCATGAATGTCTTGTAAAAAATGGTGAAACTTACTGCACCACATGCAGATTTGCTCCGTTTTACACCAGCAACAAGAGTATTGTCTTGAATAAAGCTATCAAAGGGATTCATGTGTCGTTTAATGATGGTATTCTTTTGCAGTGTTCATATAGTGCATCAGACAAAATCAACATTTATGACTTTTAAAACGGCCTTTTAAAACTCAAAACTCACTTTCAGACACCAGCGAGTGTCTGAAACAACTTCTGATTACGATCCGATGGGGATTCAGATTACAGTATGAGGCAGAAATAATTATTTATAGATTTGTATGCAGTGCTAAAGGCTATGTATGCTAACCATTGCCATAATAAATACACATTATTCTTATGAAAATACCAGAGACCACTTAAAAAACTTCGGCAAATCCTATATGATTGTAATCGTGAATTAATAAGGTTTCATAAATAGAAGGCACTTGGTAGTAATACTGACCTTGAATAAGCCCCGCCCCCTTTGTTACTTTTATAAAAATGTATTAATGCAAAGCAATGTGATTAAAAACTCAAAGTGAAAATGTATTATTTATAAGTGATTGCACAAATGACCTCTAAAACCTGAATCAATGTCACTTATTTAAAATTTCTCTGGAGAAAATGTAGGCATTTTACCGATGCTGAATGCACATTAAGAATATTTAAATTGTTTTAATAATTTATATAAAATTATGATTAAATGAACCTAAACACAAATCTTCCATAGACTTGCATTAGAAAAAGAGCGTAAGTTTATCTGACAAAATCATAATGCCAGACAGCAACAGTTGCTATGACAGGATTGGCCGATTCACCGGTGTTCACCTCAAACGCGAAATATCAATTACAAAAATCATTTTATTACAAAGTTTTATTTACAGCATTTTAAGAGAAACAGTCACCAAAAAATACAAATATACAACTGGCTGACTCTAGAAAAGCATGAAATCCTTCACATCATAAACATCTAATTGCACGTGTGAACTTGACACTTTTACATGTCCTGATATAAAAGTAAATAACATTTATAATTGCTGTGCAAAAGGCTGGATCAAATAAGTGTCCATTAATATTTTAGTATGCATCATTGCATCATTTAGTAGGCAGCAAGATCTGTTCAGCTGCCCATGAGAACCATTTCAGTTTAAAATTTGCATTATTTGCACAGTTTAATTATGTGGATTCATCGCAGTGTTAATCATTACAGTTTAAGATGGTTAAAATAATATATTAACAATCAAGTGAGCAGGTAAAAGACATACGTTTATCTTTTATTTCAAATCATTCGGTGTGTCTTTATGTGTATTTTTGGTACAAACCAAATTGGAAAAAATAATATAAAGTTGTTTAAAAAACTGATTAAAAAGCTACTTATGGCATTCAAATCTCTCTTTATGTAGGATGGTAATTTTGGGGCGGGAGTCTTTTGGCTTGTGCGAGGATCAGTGTGTGTTTATCTCAGCAGCTGCACCAATACTAGTAGCACCAGAGTACTGATGAGCAACATGACCCGGTCAGCCCAGATGTGACTCGATGCGCTCTTGAGCTGGACTCCTCCAACATGGTTCTGGATGAAGTTAGTGAAGCTGGATACTTTGGCATAGACTCCTGGTCGGTTTGGTTTAGCGCAGCCAAGACCGAAGCTCACAACTCCAGCTTGCACCCAACTTCCGTCACTGATCTGACACACCAGAGGGCCGCCAGAGTCACCCTGAAAAAGTACACATGCAGAGATATATGAGAAGTGAAGGGTATTATGAACATTAGCAATGCATAAATAAGGTTCATTGGTATTTTTATATGTAAAAAAAAATAATAATAATCATATGTTTTCCCCATGCAATGCTCTCCTCACCTGGCAGGAGTCTTTGCCACCTTGTTGGAATCCAGCACACATCATGTCATGGCGGATGTCAATGTTCTCTGTGGGGTTTATCAGAAACATATCCTGACAAGTCTTTGAGTCAATAATTGGCACTTGGACTTCCTGCAACGCCCCAACGCCCTGCAGAGCAACTGAACAAGACATGAGAAACAACAAGATTATTCACTGTGGGGGAAAAAAAAAACGCAAGAGATTGCTTTTGTGTCTTTGTACACGCTGAAGGAACGAGAATTTCTTTATTTATTGTATGTAGCAGGTGACAATATTCCACACGAGATGCATGCACTACTGGTCAAAAGTTTGGAATAATTACACTTTTATTCTTTTAACTTTTTTGAAAGAAATCTCTTATGCTCACAAAGGCTGCATTATTTGATACAGTAAAAACTTTAATATTGTGAAATATTACTACAATTTAAAATTACTGATTACTATTGTAATATACTTTAAAATGTAGTTTATTCCTGGGACAGAAAAGCTCAATTTTTAGCATCATTAATCCAGTCTTTAGTGTCACATGATCCTTCAAAAAATCATTACCAATTATTATGGGTGCTTAATTATTAATAATGTTTATTATAATTATTAATGTTGAAAAGAGTTTTTGCTGCTTAATTTAGTGGAAATCATGAGCTTTTCTTCTGGATTTTTTGTTGAACAGAAACAAATCTTTTGTAACAAATGACTTCACTGTCATCAATTTAATGCATACTTGCTGAATTTTAAGAAATTCATTTAATCTATTTTAAATCTTACTTAGCCCACCATTTTGGTAGTGTATCACAGTTTCCACAAAAATATAAAGCAGCACAATGTTTTCAACATGAATAACAATAAGAAATGTTTTTTGAGCAGCAAATCAGCATATTAGAATGATTTCTGAAGGATTACGTGACACTGAAGACTGGAGAAATGATGCTGAAAATTCAGCTTTGATCACAGCAATAAATTACATTTTAAAATATATTCAAGTATAAAACTGTTCTTTTAAACCGTAATATTATTTCACAATATTACTGCTTTTTTTCTGTAATTTTGAGCAAATAAATACAGCCTTGGTGAGCATGAGAATAATGTGCACCAATGAATTGTGCTCAATAAGACCATACATTTGCATTAAGAAAGTAAATAGCAGGGATGAACAATATATTGGTACCACATCAATTATCAGTTGATACTGATTATGTAATTGCACATACCCATTTCCTTTATTTTTACATTTTAGACCACCTTTGCTGTCATCCAACACGCCTATTTTCCAAGCGATCCAATATAAATCAAGCCCCTTTTTCTGATTCTGTTTCACACTAAATAAAATGGCTTGCAAACAACAGTTCATGAGCAACTTTAATTGTACATATTTAGATACTTTACTGTCATCCATCACACTTAAATGGTTAGTTCACCCACAAATGAAAATTCTGTCATTAATTACTCACCCTCGTGTTGTTCAAAACCCGTAAGACCTTCGTTCATCTTCGGAACACAATTTAAGATATTTTTGATTAAATCTGAGGGCTCTCTGACCCTCCCATAGACAGCAAGGTAACTACCACGGTCAAGGTCCAGAAAAGTACCAAAATGATCGACAAAGTAGTCCGTGTGACATCAGTGGTTCAACTGTAAAGTTACGAAGCTACGAGAATACTTTTTTGTGCAAAGAAAACAAAAATAACGACTTTATTCCACATTTTCGTCTCTACTGCACCGCCACACACTCGCGTCATGGTACTGTTGTGAACGCGCGTCCACAAGTGACGCAGTAGAGACAAAAATGTGGAATAAAGTCGTTATTTCTGTTTTCTACTGACATTCAACCACTGATGTCACACGGACTACTTTGTCGATCATCTTGGTACTTTTCTGGACCTTGAACGTGGTAGTTACCTTGCTGTCTATGGGAGGGTCAGAGAGCCCTCAGATTTCATCAAAAATATCTTAAATTGTGTTCCGAAGATGAACGAAGGTCTTACGGGTTTGGAACAACACGAGGTTGAGTAATTAATGACAGAATCTTCATTTTTGGGTGAACTAACCCTTTAAACGTAACTTAATCTTTAAAAACACTAATAATTAAATAACACTTACAAATGTAATCTTTAGCAAATCTCATAATGAGTATCCATTATTCACATTCTACATTTCACATGTAATGTTGTGATGCCTAAATGAATTAAAGTGTTTTTTAATTTTATTGTTTTATATTTTTATTTTATTTACTTTAGTATTGGATTTAATATTAACTTTAACTTAGGTTATTAAATATTTTATTTCATGTTGACTTCGAATGTCATTTCTAAGTTTCACATCACAACCTGCGCATGGATGAAATTTCAGATGCCCGTAGCGTGGGTTTCAGTCCGCTCTCACTCACCTCCATCTCTGATGTTACCCCATCCAGTGATCATGCATTTCATGTCGCTGCTGAACTCCACATTGCCATATGGCAAGCAGACAGGCTGAATGCGGTCGGACCACGTCACAGATGTGGCCAGCTCCACTAGAGCGATATCCTGACCCAGCTGAGGGTCTGTGTAACCCAGAGGAACCACCACACGACGGATCCTATGGCTGGTCTCATCCGGGTTCCAGCCGTTCAGCTGCTGCCGGCCCGCGTAAACCATGTAGGAGGAGATGTCATTAGGGCTGGACAGAGAAGAGAAATTGATATATATATATATATATATTTAGACAAAAAATAAACAAACAAGGATTATATTGGTGTTGAAAAAAAGGTGTAAAACTTACTTGGGAAAGCAATGTGCAGCAGACAGCACCCAGTTCTCCGAGATGACAGTTCCTCCACACACATGTCCTTGACTGTCAGTCTAAACGAACACATCAACCAGCGATCAGGAGGATATTGATAAGAAACCAGATCTGACAGACAATTCAGAATGTATCCTAAACCTTCATAATAAAGTAATTAAAACTTGCACTGATATTTGGATTTAGTCCAGATTTAAAAGCTTTATTTTATAAAATAAGAGAAAGGGCAAATCTTTATTTAAAAAAAAAATAAAGTATATATATATATATATATATATATTGTAGAAAAACTGCGACAAGGAATTTAAAATGTGTAGTCCAATTTGCAAATTTAACAAGGTGATAAACAAGTATATAGCTCATTAATAATTTGTATATGAAGTACTTGAAACAACTCTATTAAATATGAAAGGTGTAAATTCCAGTTATGAAACGGTCTCAATATTTTTTTTCTTCTTTTTTTTAAATTTTTTTAATGGCTCACCTAAAAATTTAAATTTGATTAAAATATATTCTCCCTCAGGCCATTTAAGATGTAGATGAGTTAGCTTCTTACATCACAATAATCCAAAAGTAATCCACACCACTCCAGTTCAACAGTTAACATCTTGTAAAGTGAAAAACTGTGTGTTTGTATAAAGGTGGTGTTTTAACTTTAAACCATTGCTTTTGGCCATAATTCACAATAGCGCTTCCTCCAGTCAAAACCACCAACATATTTGTTTAGAAATGTTCGGAACATTTTTTTTTCCACTAGTAAATTGTGCTTGATTTGTGTCTGCTTCTCTCCTGGGATCCATTGGTGAGCAAGTGATCTAATGTTAAATTTCTCCAAACCGGTTCCGATGACGAAAAAAACCTTATCTACATCTTGGACGGCCTGAAGGCGAGTACATTTTCAGCTTTGAGTGAACTATTCATAATTGTTTTGTTTTTGTATCTTTTGTATAGATTACATTTATAGATTTATGAAAAGCCAAGGCTTCAGCCTACAACTTTTCAGTTAATATGTAAAATTATGAATAATTATTATGGAATTGTATAGGAGGACCAACAAAAAAAAATCTTGATGATGATTTTGCATTCAGGGCATCTGATCAGGTTACGCATTAAACTATGATCTCTATGTTGTTCGACTGTCTGAGCTACAGGAATGTATTATAACTGAGGCCTGTGAACTCTGCCTGTTTTCCAAAACTTTTTTTTTTTAATGCTTTATTAATTCAATGCCACAAGAACATGAGGTATTGTACATCAAATATACAAATCTCTATTTTTCTGTTAATATAGAATTCCAAATCCTTCCAAAATAATTGAGTAAATACAATGAAAAAAAAAAGATGCAAAATATTTTTTTTTCTTGACCACAAAATTCACAGGTATACGAAATATTAAGCTTAAATCGTTCCAAAACATGCTTAGCAGGATAAATTCGACTAAGTATTTTGTAAGACGCTTCCTTCATTTTGTTATTGATACAAAATTATTTAGCAGTTTCCATGCTTTAACCCAAGATATATTACCAAATAAAGACCAAAAAAATCTTGCTGCAGGTAGGGACACAGAACAAAGAGCATTCCTTATAATCTTATTGCTACACTGTTGTTTTAAAACATCAACATTTTCAATGAAAATGTTACCACAAGGATTAACCATGCTGATTTCTTCTGAGATACAGTTTTTTAAAAGTAACATCACACTCTTTGGAATTGCGTCAAAAACAATAGCAAATTCTCTTGGTTTAACTGGTAACTGGAATTTCTGAAGAAATTCAGTATACGACAACAAGTACCCATGGGAATTAACTAACTGCCTTACTAAAAGAATACCTTCCTTGAACCAAGTATGATAGAATAAAGATTTGTTTTTAAATAATATGTCCTTGTTATTCCATATGAAATAGTTGTGGGGTGAAAAATTGTGCTTATATATCAATTTCCATGCTAACAGGGCTTGTCTGTGAAAACCGGCCAATTTAACAGGAATTTTGTCAACAGAAAAATTACATTTCAACAAAAAGTCTATGCCTCCAAGAGTATTAAATATATAATTAGGAAATACATTCCAAGGACTTTCTCTATTCTTCATAAACTCTATCAACCATTTAATTTGTTTTCCAAAACTTTAGTTTCATAATGGCTGCCATTCTTACGTGAATATCCACCTGCCAAGGCCACGCCCCTTCTGACGCAGCGGAGCCTCCAACTATCCTGTTCAGCATTTGTGGCCGACCGCATTCTGAGAGAAACACATTGATTTGCTTTACACACATAAAAGACGTTAACATTTTAAGTATATAAACTGATATAATAATATTTTAAGTATCGATTTAGCTAGTATGTATGCAAATTAGGTCAATTTCTTACCTTGAGCCTCGCCCATCCATAACCCTGAATGGCGCGCCCAACATAAAACAAAACAATGAAGTTACAATCCTACATTAACTGTTAATTCGTTAGCAAAAAAAAAAAAAGATTTTGTTTTTAGAAAGAAAAAAAACTAACTAAAGTTATGCACCTACCAATCAATATGACGAAGGCAGTCCGAATACCTGAGATGTACCGCATCCTAACAAAACACCTTTGTTCCTTGTGTTCAGAAACTTCAACTTTGCTTTTAATTCAGCGGCAATGGACGCAAGTCTTTAAAACGATTGTTTCTAGAAATAATCACGTCCTTGTTCGACAACGTCAAGAGAACAGTGAAGATCAAGAATTCGGAAGTTTCGCTCATGAAAGAAACATTACCCGAGATCTCTTTTTTTTCTTCAAATCATCTGCCTACCTATCCTGCAATGACCAATCAGGAACGTTCGTCCCGCCCTCAGTGAGTCTAAACTCCGCCCACTTTTCCACCTCTAGCAGTTTTGGTTTCTCTGTTTTGTTTCGGGGAATTTGTCCAAGAATGTGGCAGTGCAAGGTATTTGCAGTGAACTAATGAATGCAGGTTTCGATATAGGCTCTAAGTCAATCATTTCTGTAATTTCAACAACATTTGATTTCAACAACTTCAATGTCTACAATTCTGCCTTGTAGTGGCTTTGTTGAAAAATCGTTGATTTAATTGTTTCCCATTAAATAGCTGCTAAATTACTTCAGTTTTAAATTGTGTGGCGTATGTCATTTAATAGTAATGTGTGGGTAGCAGGGACTTTTGTAAACATGTTTGAACAATCAGTCCCTTTTTGCATGCGCATGACTGAGAAACAGGTATAACCGGTTCAGAATATTTTAGTGGCCCTACACACATAAAGCCAAGGACGTTATCATCAAAGAAGAAGTGCATTTATTTAGTGATCATGAATTTGTAAGTTTGTGGTGGTCACATGTTGAAGTGTTAAAATCAATCAGGATTTACTCTTTAATAACCAGTGTAATCATATGTTATTGCTTATATCTTGCTGGTGTAATGACATGAACTTCTCTATCTGTACTGATTAGATTCTGTTTCTAAAAATTACTTTCTTAAAACCCAAAACTGACTTGAAAGTACGGTGATTTGTATGCATTCAGTACTAATAAACGACAATTGCTGTTCGCAAACTGCATTAGGCAGCACATAATTTTTATTTGTTACTGTGCTAATAATAAGAAATGTGTATTGTGTACCAAATTTGCACACTGATAATTGAAAAAAGTAAAAATGTAAATAATAATTATAATAATCATCATCATATCATCATCATTTTTTTTTAAATAATTCATGATTTTTGTAACATTATGTAGTAGACTTGAGTAATGGCTCCTGAAATAATGGCTCCATAAATTGTACTTTAAAAACATAAAAACATAATGTAAGTGAACTCAAAACTTCCTTGTTAGTTTAAAAACAGCTTTTACTGAAACCAAGCTGCCAAAATGACCCACTTTCTACTTTTATTATGCAATAGAGATGAATACAACAGTACAAGACTTCCTGCACCTGTAATCAACTGTAGCAATCATAAAACAGTTGCAATCATAAGTGTTCTACAAGTATAATACTTATTTCAAGCTGTTACCCAATCATAGCAGTGGGCGTTTACATTGACCTCTTAAAGAAGACGTGCACCTTAAAGGAACACTCCACAATTTTTGAAAATAGGCTCATTTTCCAACTCCCCTAGAGTTAAACAGTTGAGTTTTACCGTTTTCGAATCCATTCAGCCGATCTCCGGGTCTGGCGGTAGCACTTTTAGCTGTAGCTTAGCATAGATCATTGAATCTGATTAGACCGTTAGCATCTCGCTCAAAAAGACCAAAGAGTTTCTATATTTTTCCTATTTAAAACTGTTTTTAAATAGGATTTTAAATATAAACGACTCTTCTGTAGTTACATCGTGTACTAAGACTGACGGAAAATGAAAAGTTGCAATTTTCTAGGCCGATATGCGGCTGAATGGATTCGAAAACGGTAAAACTCAACTGTTTAACTCTAGGGGAGTTGGAAAATGAGCCTATTTTCAAAAATAGTGGAGTGTTCCTTTAAAGTGAAGTGTTTAAAACTGAGGGCCAAAAACAGTGTAGAAAACATATCTAGAAACTATTATGACTGCTTCTGATGTATTTTTTTTAACAAGGACATAAGGAAACATTATAAAATAATATAAAAATGCAATTCATTACCTGTTTAAAAAATATTTGACAGCATTCTATGACTGACCAATCAGAATCAAGTATAATGAAGTATGATAATCAAGTATAATAAAATAAATAAATGGTAGTAAAAGAGATGTACAGAAAATGTTTGCAGTGAAATTCACAGTTAGTTTACACAAAAATTCACAAAAAGTTGAATTGTCAAGGGGACAGTTCACCTCAAATTTTTATCATCCTTTACGCACCCTTATGTCTTTCCAGACCTGTATGAATTTCTTTCTTCTGTTAAACACAAAATAAGATATTTTGAAGAATGCGGGTAGCCAATGGTTGCTACTAACTTCCAGAATTTTATTTTTATTTTTTGTCCCTATACTATGGAATTCAATGGTTACGGTCAACTCTTACCTACATGTTGAAGTCAGTGGCTACCGTCAACTGTTTGATTACCCACATTCTTCAAAATATCTTCTTTTGTGTTCAACAGAAGAAAGAAATTCGTACAGGTATGGATCGACTTTAAGGGTCGCCTATATGGATCAACTTTTCAATTCTTTAATTTCTGTTGTAAGATTTGTGAACTGGCACAAGGGGGCGCTAACACTGTCTTAATAATAGATTAAGCGGACAGATGCCGACGATAATCACTACATGACTCCGTGTTCACCTTCCTCTTCTGTTGTGCTGCTGTGTCTCTGTCTCGGTTGTGCTCCTCTCGCTCTGTCCTCAGGCTCTGTGTGTCTGCTATTACAGCACGATTGAAGGTGACAGGGACAGAGAGGAGGGAGAGAGAGAGGATGCGGCACGGTGTCGCCAGGGGCCACACAACACGAGGGAAAAAACGACGGAGAAACCGCGTAACTGAAACAACAGGATGTATAGAAACGGAAAGAACGCGTTGAAGGAAGCCGCGGTTCCATCAAAGTAGCACTATGATATGCAAAAAGACGGGAACGTTTCTTTTTGATTGCGGGAGGAAGCAAACCATTCATTCTTCTAATGAATTCATTCTTCATTCGTCTCTCTGCGTCTCTCTGCTGACTGTCCCAGGATGAACCACGCGAGTTATTTGATAAAGCTGCTCGGCTCGACTTTGTTTTAAGGACTTGATGAATATTTGTCGTGGCATTGTTGCTATGGTGACTACATCTTCTCCCTCCACAGCTCCCGCCCGCCCTACTTTTATCCCCCAGCGCTAAAAAAAAAAAAAATGAGTCAGAGAGGGATGGAGAGATGGTGGGGTGTGGGTGAGGAGATGCCAGCCTGAGCCTTGGGGATCTGGGGGTGGAGAGGTTAAACACTGCACAGCTCAACTGAATTTGGCATTAGAATCGCAGGGATGAAAGTTGAAAGAAAGCTGGCTCAGCCGATCCCGTACGTTTTTTCGCATCTTGGGCTGAGAAGAGAAGAGTGCCGGTTTGCTGGATCTCTATATAGCTGTTGCCAATTAAGTCTGAGGTTCTTTTAGAGCAGGATTTTGGAAAGCGGCCTAGTTTGACACATCAACAATTTGCAGGCGCATAATTTAGTTGAGGTGTGTAAGTGACAAAACAACACAAAATGAGGCTGCAAAATTCAGCCTCTAGTAGAACGATGCAGTTCTGCCGTCTGAGTTTGTATAATTCAACATAGTGTTGTAGCAGACAGTATACCTCAAGCTATCAGCAAAACATTTCCAGATGCGCACTTCTAATATTCGGATATGAGACATGTATGACATGCTATACTCTAAAAAAACTGTTAAAAAAAAAAAAAAAAAAAAAAATATATATATATATATGCATGTCCTAAAGCTAGCCTATATGAATTTTTGCAAGAAAACACACGCACTCGGACCCACACGGTCACGTGATCACAGAGCCTTATGTTCATAAATACACGCATGCACGAAAATAACCATAGTAACACATAAACACGGTCACATAGAAAAAATGCACATGTTGTGCACAAAGTCCTGGTTAACGTGTATGATATACTGCACATACATCATGATATTAACATACACAGTCAAAAGGTTGGACACTTGCCTAAATGTACCGGTATGTTTCTCATGATTTTAAAAACATTTTGATACAAAGATTTATGCTTTAATAATAACAACAACAACAATAATAATTATTATTATCATCAAGGGCGTGTTTTTGGTTTGAGCATTGTGTGTGAGTGTGTGTGTGTGTGTGTGTGCGTAGCTGTAGTTTGCAAACAAAATTGTCTTGAGAAGTTATGAGGGAATGTCCTCATTTTGTGTAATGGCCTAGTTAACCTATATTTTATATTATAGGCACTCATAGGATAGTTTGACAGAATGTTCTAATTGATGATTTCGGCCTGGGGGGCTTGAGACCATGTCCCTTTAATCGCCGACTCTAAAGTGCCCTTTTGGTCCAATCTAGATGCCCCCGGACCGCGATTTCTACCAAGGGGGACATAAAAATAAATAAATAAATAAATCTGTTTTAATAATAATAATAATTTATATTATAATATATTTTATTACAATACATTCATTTTATTTTATAGATATTTTAAAATATATTTTCGTTTAGTACTTTAGAGCACAAAATAGATTCTAAATATGTAACTGCTTAATAAAGCAGTATGTGCAGTGTATGAGAGAGACAAAGGTAGGGGATGTAAAGTCTTGTCAACTGGAAATAAAGTAATGTGGCATCCCCCTGTTCCCCAACCTACACACACACACACACTGGTTTATTTATACCCTCATCCAAATCTCATTGCTCTCTCATTATTCCTTCCCCAGCATAAAATGTATTGTGTTTATCGCATTAAATATACAATAGTAATTCTGGGAAATCGTTGTGCCTAATTCAAAGAAACTACTATTTATTTCAAAAAGTTCAATTATGATCTAATGTATTCAGTAAGAAAGGTCACATCAAATATTATTTAATCAGACTTAATTGAACTGAATTAACCCATATAATTCCAAGTTTTCCCAACTAAGGACATGACATTTATTTTATTCCATGGATAAACTAATGAGATAATCTTGATGTATTAAAAAAAAAAAAAAGTTAGTGACAGTATGTGCTTTATTCTCAGTCACAATTAACAGTGGAGAGACAAAAATTGGTCATTTGGTTTTACTTAGTTTCATTTAATGAAACAAGACAATTGTTTGAAATCTAATTTTATAATTTGAATCAACATTTTTCTATTCAAAATTACTTTTCCCAGCATTTTTCTAATGTTTGCAATTGTAACAGCTGACATATTTGCATCTTGAGCAATCTTGCTATCTATCTATCTATCTATCTATCTGTCTGTCTGTCTGTCTGTCTATCTATCTATCTATCTATCTATCTATAAACTCAAATCTAAATTCAGTCATGCTAAAACAAACACAATAAAATGAATGTGTGAGAAGAAATGCAAACATTCCTACTTCAGGAATGTCCAACGATCTCTCATTTTTCTCCCAAATCCCACATTTATTTTAACATGTGCAGGCTAATTAATATTAAACTGTGCTCTTTTCTGCCATTCCCCTCTTCTTCTTTTTCATCACTCCATTATCTCTAGTGTTTTTTTTTTCTTTCTTTTTGCTGCTTTCTCTCACTGGCATTAAGTTCAAACTTGACGCTGATGTTGAGTCGCTGTGTCACTCTTCTCTCTCTCTCTCTCTCTCTCAGGGCAGAAGTGCCTGCAGATGCGTTTCTATCTCTCCGTCACTCCACACACAGTTCATTGTTAACAAAGCAAGTGGGCAGGAAACCTTTAATAACACTTCAAAAAGAGGGATAGCATTGCTGTGCTGCCCTGGACATGCTGCTCGTAATGTAACGACTGGTGAGTTGGATTTGTACTATTTTTCTTTGTACTTAATTTTGTAAGAAACTGCTGTATGGAGTCCACAAATGTTGGTAAAAGCAACACTCAAAATATCCGAGTAACAAAATTCAAGTTTTAGACATGGGCTAATTGTCTCACTTTGACACAGAGAAAGTGTAAATTTTTGTCATTAAAAAAAAAAACGTAAAATGCTAGAGCAGGGGTGGCGAACGTCGGTCCTGGAGAGCCGCAGCCCTGCAGAGTTTTTCTTCAACCCTAATCAAACACACCTGAACAAGCTAATCAAGGCCTGAAGGGTTACTAGGAAGCTTCAGGCAGGTGAGTTTTTATTAGGGTTAGAGCTGAACTCTGCAGGACTGCGGCTCTCCAGGACCGGAGTTCACCACCCCTGAGCTAGAGTAAAAGAACTGTTATCTTACAATATATTGTGAAACAATGTTAGGGTTTACTGTAAAATACTGTCAAACATGATTTTTCTTGCCATATACTTTATGGTGAAAAACAGTAAAAGAACGTTCCCAGAAGTCCCTGTGTAACACAACACATGTTATTATGTTTTATAAATGATTTTTTTTTATCAGTAATGAACATTAGGGTGTGTTATGTTATTTAGTTGGTGCTTATTGCATTATTTTAATGTCATTTGTGTTACCCTGATACTCTTTGTGTGTATGAACATGTGCATCGTCTGTAGTATTAACCATGTTTTATGGATAGGTCACTTACGATTCATCATATGGCTTTCTGTTTTGGCACCTGTGTAATGGCTGTTATCAGTAAATTTTAAGGTAAAAAGCAGGTTTTGGTACTGTAAGTAGTTTGATATATTAACATGATATGAAATATATAGTTATACATAAGTTATAAAATATACAGTACAAACACCAATATACCATTCTATAATATCTGAAACATTGTCACAGTATTTTTTTATGCTGAATTTCTGGCAACCACATCTGCCAGTTTTTACCGTAAATTGAACAGGATATTTTTTACAGTGTAGTTTTGTATGTCTTGACTACAAAAAGACTATTGAACATTTAACTGAACATATACTGTACATGAGCTTGTGTTACTACAAAGTTAGTTTTCTAGGGTAACCTGTTATTAAAAACCTATTATAGACATTTCAGCTAAATTTATAAATCATAATTAAAAAAATAAATAGGCACAAAACAATTTGTGAAATGTAAATATAGCCTATTAAAATATCAAACAACTGATTTGGCCAACAGAAATTGTAATGTGTAAATGCATGTTTTCTTGAAAGTCATGAATATGTAATGTAATGTTGCATGTATGTATGTTTTCAATTCACATAAATTTCTAATTTTTTCTAATGCACAAATCTGTACACCCAGGGCAAATTCATGCAGACATAATAAATAAATACTGTTAGTATTAATAAATATACAGTGGAAAATCACTCATGTAACAGACTCTTTCTGTATATGTATAGAACGATGCTACTGTAATTCACTTGAACACTAACCGTGTGTAATCTCACCCTTCTCTCACATGAATAGTTCCTTTAAAATGTTCTGTATAAAAACAAATGAGGGTCAAAGGTCACACTGTGTCTTAGGGAGTCTAAATTAAATCAGTTCTTGTGTCTCTTTCCATTCTGAGGCTGGAGTGGTCAGGTTCATGATGTTTGAGAGGTTGAGCATGCTGAAAATCCAGAGCACCTCAAACTGGAGTGGAGCAAATGACTGGTACCATCAGCAGAACACAGTTCCCACCCAGCACAGCACTGGTGAGACGTCGTTTGACACCTTAAAGAAAACACTGATATATGTTTGACCTCCTCTGGCTGTATAAGACACATTAATAAGGCACTAAAATGTTTGTGTATTTGTGTATTTCAAAAATCTGTTTTTTTTTTGGACTGAATTTATGTTTCTAATTAACTTAAATACATTTAAAAGAAAAGGCTTATGCTTAAAGGGACAGTTCACTCAAAAATGAAAAGAAAAATCTGTCATCATTTACTCCCCCTCATGTCATTCCAAACCTCTATGAATTTCTTCTGAAAATATTTTGAAGAATATTGATAACCAAACAGTTTCGGGGCCCACTGTCTTCCATAGTATGGAAAAAAAAAAAGACTATGAAAGTCAAAGTGAACCAAAACTGTTTAGTTACAAACAATATTTATAGTACTTATTATATATTTACTTATTACTTATTATATATATTTACAAATATTACTATTTTGGGTATATTTTGTGTTCCACAAAAAAGAAATAAATACAAGTTTGGAACAACATTATTGGGTAGGCTATCTCTTTAAAGGGGTCATATAATGCTACATGCACTTTTACAAGTTGTTTGAACTGAAATGGTACATAAATGTTCGCGCGAATCATTCGTGATCCAGCTTCACCTACAGAAGAAGTGAGTATAAGCTAATTAGCAAGTTTCAGAATGAATGCGGCTAAAGTAAACAGTCTCTCTGAGAGCGGCTCGGAAGAGAGGGGCGGAAGAGCTGTTTTTGACAGGGTAAAAAAGGTGTTTTTTAGACTACCATTGAGAAATTTTAACCAAACTATGTTACAGACTTTTCATTAAGACCCTAAAGAATCATATCAACTTGTGGAAAATGGGCATCCTAGGACCCCTTTAAATGCTTGAAATTAATTTTGAAATTAAACCTGTGTATAAATTTATTTGAACTATAATTGTATGTCATACATTAATCCCTTTGTTCGTTTATTTATTAGAATTTTTAGAATTGTAAAATTTTAATGGTGATTCTGAAGAAGCTCAAATTTAAGACTTTTTATTTATTTGCTTAGCAATTTTGGTTACTTACATAACTACCACTTGTTTTTTGATTATGATTATTTATTATTATTGTAAAATAGTAAAATAGTTCTATGAACTAGTCCTTAAGAATTCATATAATGGTTCCCAGCTTCAACACTTTGTGATGTCAACAGAGTGACTTTTTTTTTTTTTGAGCATTTATGTATTTCATTCTACAAATTGGTAACTATTTTTTTCCCCTGTGTTCCAGATTGCTGCCTGGTGGAGACGGATAGGAGGATGGCAGAAGAAGGAGGACATGGGGAAAGAGATGAGGGAGAAGAATCTCAACTGAGACTGCGGTTAAAGAGGAAACTTCAGCGCAACAGAACCAGCTTCACAACAGAGCAGATCGAGGCCTTGGAGAAAGGTAAGAAAATAGACAAAAAGCTTCAAAAAGTATTAATTATATTGCATTAAATGACAAAAAATAAAGCCAAGCAAGTAAAAATGTACTACTAAACTTCATTCACACCCGTCTAACAGAGTTTGAGAGAACACATTATCCAGATGTTTCTGCACGGGAGCGACTCGCAAACAAAATTGACCTTCTGGAGGCAAGGATACAAGTGAGGAACTGGCCTTGCCTTTATGTTGACTTCGCAAAAGCAGCTAAATAAATATGATAGATAACTTCATATTATATATTGGACCTTGATTGATAGGTGTGGTTTTCCAATCGAAGAGCCAAATGGAGGCGCGAGGAGAAGCTGCGAAACCAGAGGCGGTCTGGGGGCGGGACTTCCTGTTCACAAACACACGCTCCACTGAGCACATCCTTTAACTCAGCTGTCTATCATCATCCGCATGGCAACAGTGCAGGTGGGAACGGAGGTTTACATAAATTAGAAATGTATATATATATATATATATATATATATATATAGCATTTTTTGGTTACTTACATAATTCCAATACTTCCATTTGTGTACATTCATGGTCTTAATGCTTTGATAAATAGTTCTGTGAATGAATGATTATTCTTATGAATTCATATGTACTCATTTAGTTGAGCTAAGCTGGACCTCATATGATGTTTTTTTTTCCTCACATCTTTGTTTGTGTGTTTAGCATCCATGCTCAGTCAGAGTGACACAGCTCTCCCCAGTTATAACTCTCTGTCAGTCTACTCTGGGGTTCAGGTGAGACACTACTGCTCATTTTATGAGATTCATATTTCTATACAGCATTGTACTACCAATTTATCAGGGCTATGTACATATGTACTATTGTGTATTAGCACCCTCTCGTGGTGACAATGAAACTGACCTCAGTGATCACTAGAAAACCTGTATTAGTACATCTAACAGTATTAGTACATCACTATATTTGCCAAAATGTAAAACAATAAGCACTGCACTAAAAAATGATTTTGAATATACTTGCTTTTTAAACAATAGTATCACATGATATCATCAAACACGAAAAAAAAATAATGTGTTACTTGTCATTTCTTAATAATTAATTGTGATATTAACGATTTCTGAGAGAAAATTGTTTCAAAAGTATATTCAACATAATTTTTTAGTGCAGTGCAGCTTACATGCAGTGCTAATTGTTTTACATATTGGCAAATATAGTGATGTGCTAATACTGTTTATAGTGATATAGTATAAAAAGCATACTGTGCAGTACGCACAGTAGTATGTTGGTATATGATTCTGTTCTTCACTGCATTTCAGTAGTATTTTAAATTATTCTGTTTTGGTATTTACAATCTGTCTGTGTTTTTTTTTCCGCTCTACTAAACGTTTCTTTGCAGTCGGCACCTTCTCCATCCGCCTCCTCATACTCGTGCATGCTGCCTCCATCCCCGTCTGTGCCACGCTCGTTTGAGACGACCTCCTTCAACTAACACCAGCACAGGTGAGTCTACCAGCTGTCTGTGAGCGAGCTAAACACTAGAGTTATCCATCACAATATCCTAACAATTACTGTTTAAAACACTTTCAATGCCCCCTTATCTACTTTATTTCTTGGTTTATTTGTTGGCTGGTTGTTTTAAATTAATGAAAATTTGCTGAAAATGTACTCACCTTCAGGCCATCCAAGATGGATTTGCTTTTTCATCAGAACAGATTTGGAGAAATGTAGCATTCCATCACTTGCTCACCAATGGATCCTCTGCAGTGAATGCGTGCCGTCAGAATGAGAGTCCAAACAGCTGATAAAACACAAGTAATCCACACCACTCCAGTCCATCAGTTAACAGCTTGAGAAGTGAAAAGCTGTGTGTTTGAATGAAACGAATAATTATAATTGATGGACAGTGTGGACTACTTGTGGTGACGGCACCCATTCACTGCAGAGGATCCATTGGTGAGCACGTGATGTAATGCTGAGTTTCTCCAAATCTGCTTTGTTGAAGAAACAAACTCATCTACATCTTGGATGGCCTGAGGGTGAGTAAATCTTAAGCAAATTTTAATTATTTTGGTGTACGACTCCTTTTCAATTTTCCATCTGTTTTAGGTTTGATTTCTCCATGCACTTCTGTCCAGGTGCCAGGAAATGATCAAAATATGGGTCAGTATTGGGCCAGACTGTAGAGAAAAGAACAGGGGAGGTAGATTTTGCATTAGAATACTAAATAGGCATGTTTACAAAAGGCTACAAAAAAATCTAAACTCTGAGGAAAACAATCCTCTGGTTCAACCTAAAGGACAAAACTCCTAAATTTGACATGCACATTTTTTTTAGCCATATTTTTTAGATCTCATGACAGTGTGCAATATTTGCTTCCATTCAATTTCAGACAAACAGGAATGTATATGATTTGTATATATAATGATGCATTGTGAAATGACATTTGTGCTGATTTTAAGCAAATGTCTCTTCAGAACTACTGACATCAGTTCCTGGCAGCAACTTCACAGAATTGGGAAGCATGTTATGATGATTTAATAACATAACTCTGGGTTCTGCTTCTTTTACGATAATTCCCCATCTCTCCACTGTAATTTCCCCATTAAAGTCATTTATTTGTTGTGATCATTTTCATAATCAAATATGTGATATATCACTTTTTAGGAAATGTTTATGACCTTAACTTTTCACAAACCTCAATAAGCTTGAGAGAATCATGTTTGCACTTAATCATTGACCAGTAAACAACTGACTGATTTAAAAAGCAGAAAGCAGTCAGTGACAATCACATCATTTCTCTGAAAGCATCAATGAATACTGTGTGCAAAATTTATTCCCAAAAAAATCTTCAGAATTTTAGGAAATGTTTATGACCTTAACTTTTCACAAACCTCAATCACAAATCCTCAAAGAGAATCATGTTTGCACTTAATCATTGACCAGTAAACAACTGACTGATTTAAAAAGCAGAAAGCAGTCAGTGACAATCACATCATTTCTCTGAAAGCATCAATGAATACTGTGTGCAAAATTTATTCCCAAAAAAATCTTCAGAATGCATCTCATTGGCAAGCCAAAGTATTTATATTGAACATATTGTCATAAAGTATGACTCTTCGGAAATATGCTTGAATATCAAGAAACTATGTCTGTAAACTATAGTTTATGGATTGTGTATGAATGCAAAGACAGTGTGTGTGTGTGTGTGTGTGTGTGTGTGTGTGTGTGTAAAGGAGAGAAATTAAGGATTTACATAGGATTGCATAAGGATTTACAAAGGTCTGAAAGCTGTTGCTTCTGGCAAAAATACCATTCCATAATCCAAAATAATGCTTCCTGCATATCAACCCACCTATTTGTTTAGAACTGTTTTGGCTTATAAACGGTGCTTGATCTGTGCTTATTTCTCTCCTGATTCAGACAAGACAACTTTTTCACAGGAGGAAGCAATATTATGGATAGAGGACTTGTATTTTAGCCAGAAACAATGGTTTAAGTTAAACACAAGCTTTTTGCTTCACAAGATGTTAACTGATGGACTGGAGTCGTGTGGATTACTTGTGGATTATTATGATGTTCTTATGTTAAATTTCTCCATATCAGACTATTCCTTTAAACTGGTATCTTACAATTTTTTTTTTTTTTTTGGGCCAAATCCTAAAATATTCAATTTATTTCTAGAATTAAACGGGGGAAAAAATCACAGTTTGTCCATTTTTGATCCCATTGTACTTGTATGTGGATGTTGTGTTCACTCGCTTAGTCAACCCATTTCATGTATGCATTAAACCCTTTAATAAAACATTGCAATGTTGAAATGTGAGTTGTAACTGTCTCAAATACAGCATCATCCCAGTTGATCAAAATTATTGTCCATTTAACCAAATAAGCATATGATCATTTTTCACAGTACATACACACATGTAAATGGTTTCACTTAACGGACATTCTGATTGCATAACACCATCATGTGAATTTTTATATCTCTTTATGTACAGTAAAATCAGCAGTGTAATATTTGCAGTGTTAAAAGTTATTAATTCCCAAAGAGTTGAATTAACAATCTACAGTGTTAAACAGTACTCGTGTTCAGTGTTGTTATATGGTGTAATTTCACTTTTACACTAAAAGTGCGGAATAAAAACCCCACCGAATTGTCTGGACTCCGCCCTTCAATGACTGCTGCCTCGGGATTCAAGCGAAGACGCCATTTTTTTCTTCAAGCGACCGAGACGTAAGTTAGATTGCTTTTCTCTTTTTTTGTTTCATTTAATTGACCCTAGAATGAAGTATGTAAAAAAAATAAAAATAATAAGTTTACGATTTGACACCCGTATTATAGACAGTTCTCAGCATACTTTATTTTACCATATTTAAAGTCCTAATGTAAATTGAAATTACTGAAATAAGTGGGGTTTTTTTTAATCCTTTTTCAATAGAATTGGCCCAGACTTCTGCAGTGTCAAGTGAAGGAAGCTCCTCTCATAAGATTGCAAACTGGGAGTCTGATGACACTGAGTGTGAGTGATGGAAGCCCTTCAAGAAAGGAGCAGAATGCTGAAGATGACGCCAGAATTGTGAGTCTGTGTCATTTATATGTTATTCTATGTGCAGTACAAATTTAAAACGCACAAATGAATATGAAAAATGAAAGTTGAACTGGGCAGGCACACAATATCAGCTTATGTTCACACCTGGAATTTTCTAATTATTAATTTAAGATATCAAACTGCAAAAAGATAAATGGTTAGTTGACCCAAAAATGAAAATTTGTCATTATTTCTCACTCTCTGTCATTTCAAACCTGCAAGACTTGCATTCATTTTCAAAACACAAATGAAGATATTTTTAATGAGAAAATGTCCTTCCATCTACCACTTTGATACTTCAAGAAGTTCATAAAGAGATCATAAAACTAATCCAGATGAATCGAGCGGTTTAGTCCAAATTTTCTGAAGAGACTCGATCGCTTTACAATGATCAGATTGAATTTTTTTGTTCACATTTAAACATTGATCAGGGAACATAAACAGAAAAACAGAAAATTTGGACTAAACCACGATACGTATGGATTTGATCTCTTTATGGATTAGATCTCTTTATGAAGTTTATGAAGTATCAAAGTGGTAGTTGCGTGGACCGTCATTCAAGGGACAGAAATCTTATATTCTAATATCTTCAATTGTGTTTCAAAGATAACAAAAGTCTTGGCTGAGTAAACTGATGAAATTTTCATTTTTGAACTAAGCCTGTAATAAAAGAATGTGGCCATATGCGTCACCCAAGATGCGTGCTAATGCCAGGTGTGAACAGAGCCACTGTGTGACTACACAATTAACTTTGTTTGTACCTGAGAGAGATATTGTTGTCATTAATTGTTTTTTCTTTTCAAGAAGCCAAGTTCCTGGCTTCTCCCAAGACATTCAAGGACCCAGTTGACCTCGGAATCAGCTGTAAAGGAGGATCAAACCGATATCTAAGGTTAGAATATATTTCAGAATAAGATTATCTATATTAATGCTTTATCTATATTCTGTGTTCATGCATTTTTTTGCTAAAGTTGTCATATCTGTTATTTAGAATGGGACAGCGATATTGCATCAATTGGTCTCCTACTTCATTTGATTCCACCATCACCACAAGGCTGCAAGGGACCTGGAAAAATGTCATCCTATCAAGCTGAAAAACATCTTCAAAAAGGTACATTTGGACATTTCTGTCA